CAGTTCAAGTGATCTACACTACTCATTGGGTATTTGTTAACTTCTTTTCTGTAGTATAGGTCAAGTTGAACTATTATTAACCAGCTTCAAGTGAGGGTTCACTCCTTTGTGAATTCCAACTCCACTGTGACACATTTCTCCTTTCACAACCTACAGTTCTTCTCAATAATACCCCAATTAATACATCCCTATGACATTTTTATTGTTACAAATGAAAGAATTTTTCATATGCTGTACAAACATTATAAAAAGTGAAATACTATCATGTTCATGAAACAATGTTAACACAGTGAGTGTTTGTCCCATAAACCTCAATGGTGATTTGCTAATTTGGTAAGGTAGTCTTCAAGAGTGCATGTCTAACAAAATGAAAAATATAACCCTTCTTTCTTTTCTGGAAAGATAGATTACATGACATAGGTATAAGAAATACCACCTATTATATAGGTACACACTCAAATAGACCGGCGGACATTCTTAAGATCAGTAGAAAACAAAGGCTTAGATGGTTTAGATTTTCACTGTTAACATAATAAGTGCTTTAATAATGTGCTAAACTTCATTCACTAGGTGACTGCTCATAGTGATAACAATCTGACTCCTATTACCCCGGATAACCCAAGTTGCAGTGCACAGAAGTTTAATAGCCACATGACTTATCCCACTTGGTACCCATTTCCTGCTGGGTGATCATGACTGAAATCACATAATTACTATATGAAGATCTTGTTAAGTGCCCATCATTGTTATCCTATCTCTGCAGCAATATTCCAGAGGAGACCAGAATCAGACTCCACACTTGATATTCATTTTGGGAATCAAACCTGAAACTCTGGAGTAACATGTAAGTACTTTAACCCCAATGCCATCCCAGCGCCAACTAACTGTTCTTTGTAAGTGGCGACTGACGGGATTGGGTGGTCAGGCTTGCTGACTTGTTTGATGCATTTCATTGTACCCCAGTTGCATAGATTGATGCTCATGATGTCAATCACTTGATTGCCTGGTCTAGTCTTGATTATATACATACCGCCATCTTGTAGGAAGCATACTGTTGAGTGTTAAACAACAAATAAACGAAAGAACAAATCAAGTCTGGACCAGATAATGTAGTGAATGATATTATGGGCGAAACTGTTTGGGTACAAGGCATACAATGAATCAGGTCACCATGTCTGACCATTTATTACATCACCTCTTACAACCTTGTGGGACCTAGAGTTTAATACTTATACCACTATCACTCCATATCACACTTATTCGTTGGTTGGTTGGTTTATTGTTTAACGCCACACTCAGCAATATTCCAGCTATATGGTGGCGGTCTGTAAGTAATCAAGCCTGGATCAGACAATCCAGTGATCAACAGCATGAGCATCAATCAATTGGGATGCAATAATATGCGTCAACCAAGTCAGCGAGCCTGACCACTGTTAGTGACCTCTTGTGACAAGCATGGGTTGCTGAGGACCAATTCTAACCCGGATCTTCATGGGTAAACATCACACTGATATCCTTAATGAAGGAGTGCAACAAATGGTACAGTCTTTGATGTCTACCATGTCGGTGAGACCCATAACCATGGACATGTTTCTGATAAACCAAGAAAAAATAATCAGGGCGAAGCTTGGATTCAAACCAACACCCTACATGTTGGCCATGTCTAAGGGGCACAACTCTGCAAAGCAAATTGTGGCACCTCGAGTGACCACTCCACCCATACCCCTGAATGCTTTAAAGAAGAAAAGACAATATCTACTTATTATTTGAAGACTTGATTGCATACAACTCTATTAACACAGGCCAACACATTCACATACTGTTGGGGTTTTTTCTTTTTCGAATGCTGCATACTTCAAATCATGAAATAATGTTATTTAATGCGAGCGTCGATCCCTGGCCTAAAAAGTGCATGAAATTAATGCAAGTAGACTTGTAATTGAACTTTAAACACTTATCAGCAAAAATTTACACCAAGACTATTGATTCAGAATTTCATGATATAGTATGGAGTAATAGCAGGTCCAGGCACCAGTGAAGATTGTTTAGATTCTGAACACTGCTGCACTCTGGTGCAGTCCTTTGAATGTAGAGAGTGAGTTCAGTTTTAGCCGCATTTTAGCATTTTTAAAGCAATAGCACAGCGGGGGACACCAGAAATGGGCTTCACACATTGTACATGTGGGGAATCAAACTCAGATCTTTGGCGTGACAAGCGAACGCTTTAACCACAAGGCTACCCCACACACACCCCTTTGAATGTATATGATCAGTGTTATGTATTCACCACAACTACGTTTGCCCACATGTTTTACTACCTGGATGAACAATGTTTTGCTGGTAGGTAAGAAGCATATTACCGAGACCAAGACACCATAATAAACAGTTGGTAACCGCCATAACCGCTGGATCAGCTTGTGAACCTGTGAAGTGAAGCTGACACAACACTATTCTCCCATACATCCAGATAAAAATGTGTCCCTTTATTAACTAGAGTACAGAACACTCACCTTTTTCATATTAATTTCGCGCTCTATAATATCCCTTACTCATACGTTAAATTCACATGACAGAAATCAGTTACATAAATAACAGCAAAAGACACTCACATTTTTCACATTAATTTCATGATTTATAGTATCTAACATTCATGATTATTTCACATGTCAGCAATCAATTCCCATGCATAAAGAACAACTGGCAAACTCACAAAATATATTTAAGCTGCAACAAGTTCATGCATCCACAATGCATCATTCATGCATCTAAAGCCCTACCTTCTCAATTCCTATATTAACATATGATTGTTTCTATCATTATATGTTAATCAGTTAAGAAAATTCTGTTTGAAACTAATAAAATTATGCCGCCACTGCTTTTAAGGTAATCATAAATATTTTTTCACACTTCCAAAATGCAACAACAGCAACAAACTCCGAAAGAATAGAAAGTAGCATAACAAAAATTTGAGATTTAATTAATTGATCAAACTAACAAAACAATTTCAATACAGCAGATTAGAAACTTAGATTACCTCTTTTAAGATCTCAAATCGATCCACAATTGTTTATAGCTCATCTACCAGTAATTCAAATTAGGTTTCCTTCATGTGGAAACATATTTAGCATACTAAGGGGAGATAACTCATAGTGAATACAGACTCTTTAAGGTAATAACCTTCAAACTAGTGATAACTTTTCTGCATCTTTTCTGAAAAAATTTGGATATAATTATATTAATTGAACAATCACGTCTAATTAGAACAATTATCCTCTCAGGATGAGTTGCATTTTAAACACTGCTGCTTATGTGAATACAATTAGAATAGGTTAGACGATATTCCAACACCCAAACAAAAGACCACACAAAGGGAGGTAACTGATGTTTCAGTGTCTGCATGAGAAGTATGAACAATGGTAGTATTCTCCATGCTGAGGGTATGGAAGCAGGATTAGTTACTAGATGGCTTCATACAAACCTGTTGCTCATGCTTTTGCTTTTTTTCTAGTATCTGGTAGAGCAAACAAACAAGAGGTGTCAGTGTTTCACAGCAATCACAAAATAAACAGAATGCCGGGAAACTACAAATTAGTATCAGCAAGATGATGAGTACAACAGAAATCTATGTTATGGGAAAATCTCATGTCCAAAATAACTGCGTCTTTGACCATGAAAATGGAGAGAACAGCATTGTCAATACACAACACACTTATATTACCATTTGTATCTGCATCAAACAAAAGACAATCCAGCCTTTAGGAATATGTGAATAAGCAGCAACACTTTTAAATGTCTCATTTTGCACTAAAACTATTTAGTTCGCATAATGAACACTAGGGGAAGAATTAAAGAAGCTTCTAACAGGATGGAGACGTGATGAGGTGAAACTGTGAACAAAAAACTGCAAGTGGCTATAGAGGAGGGTTGGGTTCTATAAATGTCAATGGATTCTGGTGCTATATGAATGGAATTGTGTTATTGTTGTTGTTTTTGTTGCTGTTATAGAAAAAAACGCAAGGAAAGAAAACAACAATGACAGAGTTTGCTTTTATGGAATGTTGAGTCACACCAATCAGTGTATACGACAATAGATTAGTTTATGCTGCTGCACACAATGGATGTTCTCTTATTTGAAGCCGAAAGGGAGACATGGTCAAAATCATCAAACAACTATCGATAGTTTTGAGTAAAGATTACTATTAGTAAGATAATGTGGAAATTTCAAGCATTTTTTACCCATACACACAATTTCTATGGTAGACTGTGTGTGAGTGTAAGGCAATGCACACCCCTTCTCTACCACTACTAATTCTGCCAAGGAATATATCAAAAGATATTTGTGTGGGTATGCTATATATTTTACACGACTGAAGAACGCACAGCCAGATCTCTCCACAGAAAAAAAGATTGAAATGGAAAATGTCACTGATGCTTAGATAATTATTCAAATATTATATAATTACTAAATGATATAAGTATGATGATTAAAACTGTAATGTCATATTTTTATCATTCATGTATGATGAATGTTATTTCATTTTGATTCAGAGCTGTAAGAAATGTTTTAAAAATAAACCAGAATAGAATAGCAGGAACTGATCCATGTGTTATTTTTACGAGTTTGTGTTCGATGTGTTAGGCTGAAGTCAGCAATATTACAGTGTCTTCTCCGTCTTACATGTTAGAACATAGGATTGAATTGAAACCACACTGAACAGTACTTCAGTAATCAGCACTATTCAAAGCGATTAAGTCATATAACCCCCCAAAAGACGACTTAAAAAATGAACAGTGATCAAGATTTTCTAGACATTAAACCTACACTGTCATAATGTGTATAGATATTTCATTAACAGAAACTCTAGCCACTTCTAAGACAAAATCTCAGGATACCTGACAAATGACACTGTGTACCAGTAAAACCCCAAGAATCAGTGCTGCTACACATCTAATTAACAACAAGATTAGAACATCAAGTTTTACAAATGTGGTCAACTTACGGGTTCTGCTTGACACAGGAGGTCACAAAGACACCACCACTTGAGCGTTCCTGTCGGGTAGAACGCATGGAAGCATGTTCGGAAAGTCTGATGACACTCGTACAGGATCTCCTCCTTCAGGTTTTGGAACGCTGACACGCTCGGTGGTTCACGAAGGTAGACAGCAAACTTCACCATGTGAACCTCCTCGGCTAGGATGCGTCTCAAAAGGTCTCTCGTGTCACCAATACGTTCAGCCATTGAAGAGGTCTCCAAGGGGTATTTCTTCTTGGTCACTGGTAAATATGATTATGAAGGAAGACAATGAGAAACATATTTAAGTGAAAGAGATGTGAATATCAAACCTAAAATTCGTAAAATATATCATGTCAACTTAATGTTGAAGGGCAAAGACACAGGATCTCTTCTTCAAAGAAATACCTAAGGTGCCATGATTCATCATAATGATGATGATCTTCATGTTTGAAGAAAACGTCATGGTATCTGCCTGTTACATGAGACCTACATGACATTTTAGTGACCCAGCATCATCAGCAAGGCTACTATGTGCAGGCTAATTAACATGTCTTTTCTATAAAGTTGTGAGTCTATAATGGTATTCAGTCCAGCAACTTCACATTTTATAAACCATCTCATCTGACTGACAAAGCAGTATCACTGACCTCCATCTGGGTAGACCTCATTGACGTAGATGCGTATGAGGCGGAGACATGCACGGCAGATGTAGACAAGACGCTGTAGGTCTGATGCAGCAGCTTTATAGTTAGCTCCCTTGAGACCGTCAATCTCACTGATGGCTGTGTGGAAGGTTGTCCAGCCCCACTCCAGCAGCCGTAGCAGGGACTCGAAACACAGCTGGAAGCAAGGAGGCAGATGGACAACATTATCACAAGGTTCATACAGACATGGAACACTAACATTCAAGGTCATTTCAAGGTTCTTTTAGATGTGTAACCTTTGTAATCTTAGTCTGTCATTACAGGAAGGAGAAAGTGTTTCAAAGCAAATTTGTGATTTGCAGCAAATCCACTGAGGCCATGCACACTTTGTTTTCAACAGCAGAACCAACCTATCCTGAGACAGCAAAGTTTCATGCTGTTTTTAGCTGTTTTCCAGTAACATCATGTAAATGCTTTAACCTCTTGGCTGCAACTCAGTCACTCTTAGTAGCCACTAAATAACCTGACACATCCTACGCTGCCTCCAATAGGACATATACACATACCGGTGTGACGGAGTGGGCAAAGTCCTGGCTGAGGACATGTGCAGGCTCCACTAGCTCCGTCCTCCTGATGACACTCGGACTGTCCCGGGATGGCAATCTGAGGGTGGGAAAAACCAGCAACAATGACATCATCAATAATATTCCAGCTATGCCACACAAATACCAGCTGCCAGATTTGATACAACTAATAAAGGTACTTGTTACATCTGAATCATCAACCAATAAAGGAACATGATACATTGATACCATCAACCAAGAAAGGAATGAGATACATCTGTATCATCAACCAATAAAGGAATGTGATACATTGATACCATCAACCAAGAAAGGAATGAGATACATCTGTATCATCAACCAATAAAGGAATGTGATACATTGATACCATCAACCAAGAAAGGAATGAGATACATCTGTATCATCAACAAATAAAGGAATGTGATACATTGATACCATCAACCAAGAAAGGAATGAGATACATCTGTATCATCAACCAAGAAAGGAATGAGATACATCTGTATCATCAACAAATAAAGGAATGTGATACATTGATACCATCAACCAAGAAAGGAATGAGATACATCTGTATCATCAACAAATAAAGGAATGTGATACATTGATACCATCAACCAAGAAAGGAATGAGATACATCTGTATCATCAACCAATAAAGGAATGTGATACATTGATACCATCAACCAAGTAAGGAATGAGATACATCTGTATCATCAACCAATAAAGGAATGTGATACATTGATACCATCAACCAAGTAAGGAATGAGATACATCTGTATCATCAACCAATAAAGGAAGGTGATACATTTATACCATCAACCGAGAAAGGAATGAGATACATCTGTATCATCAACCAATAAAGGAATGTGATACATTTGTACCACTGGCCAATAAAGGAACATGATACATTTATACAAGCAACAAGTAAATGAATGTGATACATTTACACCATCGACCAATGAAGGATCTTGTTACGCCCATACGATCAACCAATAAAGGATCCCAATACTTCTATGCCATCAACTTATAAAGATTCTATAAACACTATTACCATCAACTAATAAAAGACCTTGATACATCTCTGCCATCACCTGATAACTAAACACGATACACTAATGCCATCAACTCACCTGTACAGCAACTGTGGAATCTGCCCAGCATTTACATCAGTGCCATTGTTTGACTTCTTGGAGCTCTTGAACTTAAAAACAACTCTGTAACAAACAGCATGGACCATATTCAGCATCACAGTACCATGGTCCACAATACTGTTATTGTTTCAGAAGGTCATGTATCAACACAATATAACACAAATCAGATATGTCAAATGATATAAACAGTTGAACACTTGCTTCACCTGCTCATTTCATTATCTTCAGTGTAAGCAATACATGGTTGATATTTTGCCCAAAGCACCAATTTTATTAGCCATGTTCTTGATTATCAAAATAATGATTCCTATATCAGCATCCATCATGCTGTTAATGCATATGTTTCAGTGACTAATGAGTCGAAACTCCACATTTCAGGCCATACTTAATCAGATTATATTTGCCAATTCAATTCAATTCATTATCATGAATATACTCCAACTCAGGACTGGCTTCAGATCAGATGAAGTTGTATTAAATTTATACTAAGATTCAAAACACTGAAGGGATCTATATCTTAACTGTCAGGCTTTGTACAAGCTTCAGTGGCTACTCACTGGTCATCTGTGGTGACCGAGGGCTGTCCGCTGGAACCACAGTCACTGCTGGGGCCAGAGATACGTGCCCAGGCCACATACCAGTTGTTGGCCTGTAGGTGGACAGGCTCGTCAAACAGCATGGCATACTTCTCCCTGCAAAGTATATCAGATGGTTGACACACAGGTGATTGGTATTTAATTGGGTGAAGTTTTATCACTGTTCAAAACATGACACTTTCAGCTGAAAGTCAACTAGTTGAAGAACTTCAACAATAGTATCAATATAACCTGCTGAATAACCTCTGTAGATACAGCTGTTCAGGAGAGTTCACTCACACGCATCTCGTTCAGTAAGTGTTTATGGAATTTAAAAACATTCATGGAAACGCATAGACACTGACTGCACGAGATTTGCCTGCGAGTGAACTACACATGCTCCCAGATTTCATATGTTAGAATTTTAACTGAATTCAGTTTTCAACTTCGCAGATGCCAGACGTAAATTTAGAGTTAGGTTAGAAAGTCAGTAAGTTGTTAGATATTCATAAATTAGCTTAGACAATCAGTGGGGTTTAGTTAGTAAAGAAAGTTAGAAGTTAGACACTAGTATTCATGGTTAGATTAGTTTAGTATTAGTCAGGTTTTGAACATTAATAGAGTTAGAATTTAGATATTAGGGGTTAGTGAAATTAGTTAAATTCTTAGAAATTCATCAACGCAAAAGTTTACACATTCAGTTAGTTCTTCACACATTCAGAATCAGAACAACAGCATCAAAATCCTTACTGTAAATATCTCCTAGCATTGTGTCCACTTATATGAATACTCAGTTATTTCGATGGGTCTACCTGTAAAGCTATAGCTGAGTGATAGTGAATGAGTACATGAGTATGATTTACCTTGCTTGAAGCAATATTCAAGCAACATCACAGTGGGGCATTGCTGGTGGAGGAGGGGCCAGGGGATGTTTAAAAAACAAAATGACTATCAATGAAAACCAGACCTTATGCTTGGAAAATCAGATTCCCCAATACTTTGAGTAATCTACACACAGTTGCCTAGATATGTCCTACCTTGCTCCACATTCAAATGGCACTTCCTCCGTCTCTGCAATCAGTTCTCCGTCTGTCTCATTTTCTCCTCCATCGGCTCCCAGTTCAAATATCTGGAGCACATGATGCCAACATACAGATGCAATATGTCCTATACACAAGTACTTCAGTCAGAAACATGATACCAGCTTGACTCATTAGTGACAAGTGTTGGCATATTAGGCTTATATCCAGTGTGTGTATTACATTATGGGATTTTGACACACAGTAAAAGGCATGAATAAAACAAAATGTTTGGCAGTAAGTCTTGCTTTTCTTGTGTGCTGTTTTTGTACTGACTGGTACTTTATAAGTGATGAACATGAGGCAAAGATTTTTCTGGATATCAACTTCTTTGTTTTGTTCACACAACATTTCGGAGTTACTTCTTACTCGGCTCATTCACATGTAATTTGAGAAATACACAGAACATAGCTGCAGTTATCTCCCTTACCTTTATCCTACCAAAGTACTCTCCTCTCCCTCCGAAGAGTCCAAATCCTCCCAGCAGAATGTCTGTATCACACATGAAGCGGACGGCCTCGACTGAGTGGCCCGAGTACCCCCACCCTCCACCATGGCCTGTTGGATAAGACAACTCTCCATTAGGTCACAGAGACTATGTTGTGATCCACAAGACTCTTACATCAATATTACAGCTGCATTTCTGCTGTGCCCCCTTCACCAATTTATATCCCCTCGTGGAACATAAACTAACATAGAGGGTACAACTTATGTCCCCTCGAGACCAATGGACAACTTTTGTTATCTTACCTCACATATGTCATTTTCTGATTGGCTGAGCACTCCTCTGTTAGTTTCAATGCACCCGTTTACAAGCAAAATGGAAATGCCAAAATGTGGAAATGTGTTAGTAATTCTTTATCTCGAATAATTGAGTCACGTATGATGTAAAGAAATTACCGATGTTTTTCAAATGCAAATCAATGGAAGGTAGGTAACTCTATATTTGTTTTTCTTGCTGTCTGTCTTGTCATATTGGATAATTGGACTCTGGTACTCCTTATTATGATCCAATACCTGTGCTTCAAACAGTTCAAAATTAACATTGAGGTGTTCGGTAAAATAAATACATTCGAGCTCAGAGAACATAAACAAACATGGAGGGTACATCACCCATGTCCCACTCGTGATCCGTGAACAACTTATAATATACCAAGAGAGAAGACAGAAGTGATGAAAACACAAGAACACAGGTATGGTGTTGACCGTCCAAGAATCAAAATCTGGATGAAAACCAGTTACATGAACCCATGATCAGAAGATCCTGGCACATCTAAGGGAGGCAACTTTCACCAAGGACTAGATTATTCCAAGCACTTACTTTCAAATCTGTTGATGATGGAGTAGTCCTCCCTAGTGTATATCTTTGAAGTGGACTGCTTCTCGCGAGCCTCCTCTATCACAGTCATATTCAGGAGATGGGCTGTCGTCAGGGTGTCCAGGGATCCTGTACATGGAGGGAGGAAATGAAATCAGTTTATGGATGACACATTAGGATTTATACAGAATTTCATTTTCCAAATTCTAAATTTTTAGAAGGGTCAGAAAAGAAAACTATCAAATTAAATTTCTTCATATCAAATGGCTGCTATCCCTTTTCTAGAAGTTCATTTGGAGGCCAAATCAAGACAGACCACAAGCTTTAAGGCCTTTTTCAAAACTGTTTGAACGCTGCATTTTACAAGGAAAAGGAAAAGCTTTCCAACGTAGAGTTGAGGTATCGAACATTGATGAAGCAAACATGATTAATTTCGCTTATCAGAAAACCTGATTAAATTAGGATTATTATGATTATCCTCATCAAAATGTGTAAATGAGTACATGAAGTACGGATTCTAGTACTTTGGTTAGGTTGAGTCCCTTCAAGATTTGAACCTACACTTTTTCAGAGTCAAACACCTAATAACCAGCACACAAAGTCAGCCATCTAACCCACTCAGCCACCATATCTTCATACAACGCACATCTTCCAGACTTACTACTCACCCAGCATATGTAGAGCTGCATGCGAGCGAGTGGCATGGCACCCCATCCTGGTTGGGACGGCCAACTCAGGGCTGAACAGGTCACAGTAACCCGGATCAACACTCTGCAGGTCATGTGACTCTGTCACCAGGACATTATAGCAGTTCACTTCCTGGGTCTTTGGACAGTATCTGAAAGGAAGGATCCAGGATTATATCTGCACCTACACGGAAAAAGAGTTTTAAGAGTCCAACAAATGTTCTCCTTCATAGTTGCTTCCTTTTTCCTTTCAGTGAGTGAGTGAGAGAGCAATATCTCAACCATCTCAGGAGAACAAATCATATTAAACATACATTAAAAATAAGAAGCAGGCAAATATCACACTTTCACCACTAATCAAACTAGACACACAAAGTAACTTAGACAAACACAACTCTATGAACTATAATTGACATGATAAAAGGGTAGAATTTCAAAACATAAAAGTTAGTAATGGTGGCAATAGAACATCACACCTCTTTCAACTGTATTTCAGTTTTTATCTTGGACTGTCAGCTGGGAGGAGCATCCAAAGTGACACAGGTCACAGATATTTACAACCAATAAGGTCAAGTATATTGCTGATGAACCAAGTCGGGTGAACCTGGAATTCAGCCCCACGAATTCTGGCCACTGCTAACTTGCAGAGCCTTCAAAGACTGGGTGATCCCAGGTAAACATCTCAAGAACTTAAATCTTTCATACACTGTTGCCAGGAATAACATATAACACATTGCTCCTTACCCCCAGAGAAGATCATAGACAGGGTCAAGACATACTGCCTGGTCACTCAAGTCCACCTGTTCCGAGCCGCTGAAGCTGAAATATCATCAATCAAATAATAAAACACTGAAGAAAAAGCATAACTGATACAATCATGAGGTTCTCTACAAACAACCAGGGATGCTAAACGATTTACAGCTTAGAGGGTATATTTGGATACCTTGATTTCAAAATCCGTCAAGCAGAATTTTAATATTCTATCTGACATGGAGAATTCTGCTTGGATCAACTTCAAAGTGTACAAAGCAACAGTTATGTTGAACCTACCTCTTACAACTTCCATCCACTTTGCTAATCATCAAACATTTCATTATGGCTGTACTGTCCTCGCCCTTCGGAATCAAACCTGCACATAAACATAGATAGTTGGTGAGGTGAAGTGAAATTGGGTTCAACGCCGTGCTTGACAATATTTCGCTTATATGACGACGTGCATGCGTGTGTATGTGTATGTGCGGCTGCTTGTACTAGACTAGTGAAGCATGAATACCCCACTCAGACACATTATACTGACTCAGAGCCAACCAGTCCTTGTTGTATCCATTAATGCTGAGAGCCAGGCAGGGACCAACAAGTGCCATGTTTTAACGTCTTTTGGTATGACGCGGTCGGTGATCGATCCCGCGTCCTTCCGCTCTCCGGGCTGACGCTCTAACCACTACATCATGGAGGCGGTCATAGATAGTTGGACAGCAATAACATACAGTTGAGTCCTGTCATATACTTAGTTCCAAAAGAAACGCGACATGTCCATTTGAAATAAGAACTGTTATCCCACATACATGCTTCCTGCCACTATATGCTTTATACAGAACACACCAAGGAAAGATAAAAGACAACAACAACGACAGTGGATTTAGGATCTGATGAAATTTTTATTGTGTCCAACCTGAAGCGTCTGCAGTAGACACGTTTAGAAGCTTAAGCTGATATTCGATGTTATCAGTACCTGGTATGACCACCATTATTGTTTATCATATGAGTACACCATCTTCCCATGGACATGAACAAACATCGAATGAAAGCACAGGTAGTGTTATTGTACTCATTCAACACTGCATTCTCCAACTGCTGCCGATTTTGTGGAGGAACTGGTCTTTGAAGAAGGCGTCGGTCCAACTCGTCCCAGAGATGTTCCACTGGATTCAAATCAGGACTAAGATGTGGCCAAACCATTGTCTGGATGTGGTGATTGGCCAGGAATTGTCCTGTGATAATGGCGGTGTGGGCACGGGCATTATCGTGTTGGAACTGCAACTGTGGTCTAGGTCTAAAGAGCGTGACGACAACAGGCCTTAAGACTTCGTCAATGTAGGGTCATGCAGTTACACCCCTCCACGACCTTGACCGTTGTTTTGGAAGATTACAGGTGGTACATGCCTTCCCCAGCTTATTCCACCCCACATCATAAGGGATGCCCCACCCCAGCGGTCACTTCCAGAACACATGAGTCTCTGAAACGTTCATTTCATCGACGCCATACTCTCACTCTCCCATCTGCAACGTGGACACAAAAACGACTCTCATCTGAGAAAACAACGTTCTGCCACTGTGCATATCTCCAATGTTGATGTTGGCGAGCCCATGCTAAGCGCAGACGACGATGCCGTGGCGTCAAAATCGGTCCAACATAGGGTCTCCTACAGTGTAGCCGGTGTGCTCTAAAACGTCGACACAGTGTTTCCTGAAATTGGTCTGTTGTGAATCCCAATTGTCTGACGGGTTTTAACAGTAGCTGGAAGAAATGGTTGCAAACATGTGACGTTACGATGTACAGTACAACAAGAAATTATTGAGAATTTAAAGATTGTAAAATTTAAAAAAAAAATTCACTCATTACTCACGTATTAAATGTGAATATTAGCAGAACATAACTCCAGATTCAAAGACAGGTGAACAGTTAGTATTTTGTCAAGTAACCATGGGCAGCAATGCAGGCTTCAATGCGGCGGGGCATACTACTGATCAAAGAAGTTAGAAAGTCGTGGTCTATGCTGTTCCAATATCGGACCACCTCTTCTTTCATTTCAGCAATATTTGTCAGATTTTTCTTATTGACACTTTCCTTCGTAAGTCCCCAAACATTTTCTATTGGATGTAGGTCAGGGCAATAGCTTGGCCAATCTAATAATGTCGTATTTCGGGGCCGAAACCAGGCCTGTGAATGCTTTGAACGATTTTTTGGGGTCGTTGTCCTGCTGGAAAATCCAAAAAATTCCATAGAACACGTGAGCAGATGGAAGTAAATGTCCCTCGAGAATGTCTGTGTACCGCTCACTGTTCATATTCCCTTCAAATACACAGGGTGCGTTGCCCCTAACACAGATATGCCCCCCCACACGTTAAATTTCGGACTGTACTTTGGGCGCTGATACAATGGTTTTTCAGTTTGTTTGGTCCAGAATTTCAGTGTATTAGGAAACAGCCACACAGAACTTCATCTGAGAAAATCACATTGTCCCAGTTAATATTCTATGCTGTAAGCACCAGTTCAACCTTCGCTCCTTTTGTTCAGGTTTCATGATTGGTGATGGAATTCCTCGACTTTTCTGCCAACCCATTGCATGCAGCTCAGTTCTAATTGTCTCCTTACAGACAGCTACAGTTCCTTTATCAATCATATCCAGCCTTAAGTTTTCTAAACTATTTCGTTTGTTAGAAACAAGAATACCAAGCCGCCTCCTGTCACCGACAGTCAATTTTCTGGGCCTACCTGCACCTCCCTGGTGCTTAATGCCATATCCATTTGCAATATTTTTCAAAACATGATAAACAGTGGACAAAGGGATGCCTGTTCTACTTGAAATCACTTTAGCTGATCTGATGTCCTTGTTATAATACTCTAAAATCAACTTCCTCTTCTCTAAATCATCCATACTGAGGATCACTGAAAATGTCGTCTGCTAGCAAGTAAACAAAGGGGAATAACTCTTCACAAACTAATGAAAAAGGTTTTAATGAAGTTGTCTCTCTTGAATGAAACCAAGCACTCGATAGCTGGTCAAGGTTGTTTATACTAGAAATCCAATTAAACATATTCCTAAAATTCTCAATAATTTCTGGTCATACTATAACGGTCTTGCCTGTGTGACGTCACTTGTGGCCTGCCATCTCTAGGTCGATCTCTCACCGAATTTGTTTGATTTTGGTGTTCAATCAGTCAGTAAATTGTCGTCCGATGTACTCCCATATGTTGTGCAACGTTGACAACACTGGAACCAGCATTAATCATCCCAAGAGCACGTAGACGTGCTTCATTGCTCAGACGTGGCATATTGTTCTCTGAACCATTCAGAAAAAGAACACAACAGAAACTGCCGTCGCATCTTTTAAAGGGTTCTTTCTCTCGTTTTTCTTGAAGAAAGTGTCGTACCATTAAATTCACGTGCACAATGCATCAGGGCATGCGTTTATGTGATGCGTTTCTGCTTTCTTTCCCATAAAAATGTGCAATAATTGGATTCAGTTGTTACGGCTAATCTGACGTTAAAAGTAAAAAGTCTTGTTCAGAAATTTAATTTCAAAGACTGGTTTAAAAGAACATTTAACATGCACTTTCGTTATGAATGTAACGTAGATAAAACAATTATGGCAATTTAAAAAACAAACATGAATGTCACGTTTCTTTTGGAACTAAGTATAGATACCAACAAGGCTGTTTATTTATCTGACTGAATCATTGTATCCCCAGACTCCTACACATGTCTTTATGTATGTATACATTTGAACCAAATCTGTGATTAGCACCATTTCTCAGATAGTATCATAATTGTACCCATGAGGGGAACTGAACGCGGGTCTTCGGCGCTACAAGCAAATGCTTTAACCACATACTACCTTCTCACCCCAAGCCTAGTGGTTGATATTGTGAAGAATTAGACACCATCACAGTATTACATGATTTCAAAGACCAAACAGATCCTTACAGGATCACACCAAGGGCTTGCCCAACACAGAAACCATTTTACTTCCCAATCCCTGTCTAAGTCTAGTACAGTGAGACCCCGGATATCCAGACACATTCATTTTTGCGTAAATCGTCCGGATAACTGAATATCCGGATATCTGGATTTCTGTCATCCAGGCTTACGTGTTGAAACGGTAGCGAGCATACACTTCTGGTTTAAAATCACTTCCAAAACAGCATGGTCATTTTGATTTGCCAAAGTATTACAATTCACTCTGTGCCAGATAGGGCTACTAATCACCACCAATACCCTGCTGATTGGTCATTAATCCGGATTAGCAGACCGTGTCTCGTGTCAAGACACGTGGGGCACTTGCACTTCACATGGTCAGCGGAAGATCAAAGATTCGTGCAGATAAGTGAGTCAATTTTGTGTTGATTTAGTCGGTTAGTTTGTAAAATTTACCGTCCGGGAACGGAAACCGCATATCCGCTATAGATAGTCACTTTTATAACGTGAAAATTGACCGGAAAGCGGGGTTTCCAGATATCTGGGGTCCGGGTATCCAGGGTCTCACTGTACATGGTACTGAAAAACATTCAGGCCCAGTTTCATGCTGAGATACTGATTGGGTTGTATGTTCAATGCCACATTCAGCAATATACTAGCCATATGACAGCAACCCCTTAATAATCAAATTTGGGGCCAGATGATTCAGTGGTTGATATAGTGAGCATCAGTTCAAGCTGTCAGTGTACAAAGACATGCAACCAGTGACGTCACAAAACCTGACCAGCAGATCCATGGAGTCACCTCAATGGACGAGCAAGAGTTACTGGAACCTATCCTAAACTCCTGGACAGTTAGCAAACCATTAAACACTCACCTATACATGTCTGACTAGCGAACAGGTTTGAGCGGGCGAGGGTGTGAGCATTTATCAGTGACTCATCCACCCTCATGAAAGTCTGGTCCCCACTGGCTCCTATCCATGTGGCTCGACGACCAAATCTTGAACCTGCAATTACCATTTTCACTTACCAATGATAAATGAGACACTGAAATGTTCATGGCTATTTCAATCAAAATTACTTTTTTTTTTTCTTCAAGTGGAATGGTGTGATGCAAGAAATATAACACACCCACTACTCTACTAGTCCCAAGGCCGGTGAAAGTTTGAAGGACTACGTGCTGTTTCATATGTTCCGTGTATTGCATAAATCACTACATACACTGAGAATCAGACTATATGCATTTAAACCATGGAATACATAGTTGTGACATCACAATCAAACATTTCTCTTAGTTACAACACTATAGTGTCTGTCTGCACATGAGTATATTAGCATATATCCTGAAGGCAAGGTATTTCAATATTCCATGTAGAATATGCCAGCCTGCATCTTTCAGCTGTCCTCTTTTATGATGTTGATGAAGCAGCTGTCACTTACCAACTCCAGGAACTGGTCCAGGGATGGAGTACCATGGTCCCTTCTTGCTCTTCACTCCACCCTCATCAGGCCCCATCCGACCAAGTGCTCCTTTCTGAAACACAAACATTGTCTCACTGAATAAGGGATTGACTTATAACGGGAATTTCAACATCTTCGTTCTTTCTGCCCAGATGCTTGTACCTTCATCGTACAAGTAATCACGATTCATATTGAACGATAAAGCAGTTTGAGTCTGTAGTCAGTCCTGTCTTTGCTAACAAAAGATTCTAAATACCACTTAACAACTATATGTTAGTTGTTTCAGCTTTTCAGAGACAATAAACATGGTACAATATAAAACAAGTGATCTAGCAATTGTTTTTTTGGTTTTTAAGTGAAAAAAAAAAAAAAAAAAAAATTGATTCAGAACCAAACATGAAAATCTTCCATTCAGAAAATCTTCAGTAACCCATGCTTGTCGTAAGAGGCGACTAACGGGATCGGGTGGTCAGGCTCGCTGGCTTGGTTGACACATCTCATCGGTTCCCAATTGCGCAGATCGATGCTAATGTAGTTGATCACTGGATTGTCTGGTCCAGATTCGATTATTTACAGACCGCCGCCATATAGCTGGAATATTGCTGAGTGCGGCGTAAAACTAAACTCACTCACTCACTCAATCCAGAAAATGCATGGAAAGCAAGCTATTTGCTAAGTTATTCTTACCTGATAGTTGCCAAATGTGTAGACTTGACCGCTGGTTAGCAATATGACTGAGTGATAGCTGCCTGCTGCCACCTGGACTGCGGACAGAGGAAGGGGCACCTTGCTGGGGCTGCCTCTACAATACAAGCACAGAACGACATCAGTGTCCAGACAACGTACTCACCAATAACTGGCCATCAATATCTGTCTGTTTCATAACTTGTCAAAGTATGAATCATTTAGTCACAAACCTGAAAAACCTAGCAAAACCTGCAGGTAACCACTTTGAGGTTAATGATAATAGGGCCAGTTATATGGCACTGAACGGGCATGCTCTAAGCACATACAACTTAGTAATTAAGGAACAGATGGGTCTTCAGGCCAGATGTAAAGGCAGTGAAGAGAGAAGCACATCTGAGGTGAACAAACATTGCCAAGGTATTGTATTACTATTGTCACGCTTTCTTGATGGGGCCAAGAGTCCTAGTTTTACAACCACTGAAGATCTGGGATAGAATTGATCTTCAGTAACCCATACTTGTCGTAAGAGGCAACGTACAGGATTGGGTGGTCAGGCTCGCTGACTTGGTTGACACGTCATCGTATCCCAATTACGTACATTGATGCTGATCACTGGATTGTCTGGTCCAGACTCAGTTATTTACAGACCACCGCCATATAGCTGGAATATTGCGGAGTGCGGCGTTAAACAACAAACCAAGCAACCAATGATAGTTTTACACCCCCATTCCTTGCTGTCAACTCATATAACACAACACTTGCATACTTTCAAAGAGACAAGGAGATTATTCATCACACATGCTCCACAGCCTCAAAACTGCTGATTTGGCATAAAGCAATATTCACTCACTAATTCCTGAGTGCAGAGATAAACCTGACTGGTTTTCTAATTGGAGAGTGTATACTGAACTGTACACATGGACAAAATACATAGATTATATAGATATAGGATTACCTGACTCCAGTGTCTCCTAGTCCAAGCTGACCCTGGTGGTTGCTGCCGAACGTGTACACATCTCCATTCTGTAGCATCACCACTGAAATAACAAAATCATTCAAATGAAAATGATACAGCAACATTATCATGTATATTGTCATACACCCCTAGTTTTGAATGAGTCCCCATTACATTTCTCAGTCTTTCAAAACAAAAAACTGTCCATGCAAAGAAAGGACATATTCTGCCGTACTTTATCAAAGACAATGAAAGCATGTAGAGTAAGTGTAGAAATGCTACTGACCAGTGTGGTGCTGACCACAAGTTATCTGCGTCACCTGCACGTCCCCCGCACCAATCTGCACCTCCAGGGGGCGGCAGACTCACCAGCTTGATGTTCTCTGCCTCTGGATCACTGCCACCTTCTGATAGAACACATATAAAGAGCATCCGTTTCAGTAAATGTTATCATATGTATCAGATGAGATGTTCCTTATCTTTAAAGCTGGTTAACCAAGCTTTGTAAGACCAATGGCAAGATGTAGCTAGTGAATAAGCTGTGGATTTCAGCAATGGTTAGTTTGCAGACATATGACAAGAACAATATAGTTATTATTTAATTACAGATATTCCTTTCACTTTTCTAAAAACAGTTTAACAGGAAATGATCGCATGAGTAACCTTTCATCTAGATTCTTTAGTTACATTGACATTTAGACTTTCAACACAAGAACACGAACTGTGGCAACACTGACCCCGTTGTCTCTTCTCCTTGACTAGTTTCTGCTGAGCTTTCCGTAACTCGATCTTCTGCTCCAGACGTTTGCCCAACTGCTCCACATGTCGCACCCCCTGCCTACTCGCTGAAACACGGACTGGTCCATCTTATATTAACATAATTATGCCAGTAAACATCTTCAATCAAGGCAAAATTCCTACCCACTATACAGCAAAGCTTCAATATTTCATTTAAGGTAGCACAGAAATGATGCCCAGCATACCACTATTCACGATTTATATTAAAACAAACAATGAGTGCATATTTTCACAAAGTCACAATAATGGAAACCTAAATCTATATAATTTCCCATGAAATCACTTTACATAACTGGAGACATTATTTAATAAAATGTTTCATAGATGAAACAGCAAAGCTCTGATATTTCATTAAAGGTAGCACAGAAATGATACACATCATACCACTATTCATGATTTACATTGAAACAAAGAATGAGAACATATTTTCTCTAATTCCCAATAATGGAAACCTAACTCTATATTGTTCACCATGAAATCACTTTACATAACTGGAGACATAAGTTTCATAGACGGTGAAAAGACAGCCAGGAAATCATGTATTGTTGTATTATTTGTTGTTTTTACTGCACTGGGTGATACGACAGTGATCCAGGATGGAGACCACCTCTGTGGTGTAGTGGTTAGAGCGTCCGACTGGAAAGGTCGCGGGTTCGATCCCCAACCGCGTCATACCAAAAGACGTTATGGTACTTGTTGGTCCCTGCCTTGCGCTCGGCATTAATGGGTACAACAAGGACGGGTCGGTTCGGAGTCAGTATAATGTGTCTGAGTTGGAAATTCATGCTTCACTGCGGCATGGTATCTCAGTGGGCTAGCACTATAAAACCAGCTTAAGTCAGGGCTAGTACAAGCAGTCACACATACACATACACACGCATGCACGTCGTTATACGAGCGAAATATTCTCAAGCACAACGTTAAACCCCATATAAAAAAAAATAATTAAAAAAAATCAAGCACCAGGCAATCTAATGACAGATATTAGGAGCAACGGTCCATGTAGCTGGGGAACATGACATGCCACCTACCAGATTCTTCAGACTGACCCTCTATCTATTTGGTCACTCTTAAGCATGACTCACATGGGTCAACTCGCCGTAACAACATGCCAGTTTGGTGGCTGGAACGAATATCGACTCATCGATTTGCTACCTCTCACACGATTTGATCTGTTGGTATTAGTGTCGGTCTAATAATATTTCGCAGTATTTTGTTTCTATAGTATCAAAATGTCTGAATCGATACTATGTGAAGAAGACGGGAATACCAAAGCGAAGAAAAAGAGAAGTTGTTGGATGAACCATTGGATTCTCCGTTGCGATATGCACAGAGCATACAACCATCTCATTTATGAACTTGAAACTGAAGATGAACAGTCATATTACAACTTTACTTCACAGATAATGAGCCACAAAATGCTCCATTTCCTCCCGTGAAAAATCGAGGCCTGGTTTCTTTGAAGCAGACATGGCCATGTTTCGTACCTGTACATAAACATTTACCACGTGACACTAAAATGCTATTTGATTGGCCGCACCACATCCAACTTGCCGAATAACTAGAACAGACTCTACACACTCGCGACACAATCAACGTGAGTTCGAGCGTCCGATTTATACCAATTGTTGAATTTGATAAATCACTCAGACAATACGACTCAACCAAATTCAGCTTATCTATTCAACAGGGAGGCTTGTGTGAGTCCGCCTTTACAACCAGCAAAGGATGTTGGAGACTTATTGTAGCTTTGAATCCCATACGTGGAATCAGACAGTGCAATGGTTGATACAGCAGACGCTCAATCAGGTAAGAGGTCACCAATTACAGTACCCGCTATCAGTTTAAACAAGCATAACGGACTGGGCACTAATCCGCCCCAGAACTCCAATAGGAACAGTGGATAACAATACTGATATTGCAGCATTTTCTCTTTGAAATTAAAAACAATCACACTGAATTACAACAATTAAATGATGTCCCTAATACTAGTAATACAAATTGATAAAGCAGAAATTTAGAAAGAATGGCAAAGAATGAATAAATACCTTTAGCAAAGACCTCAAGTAATCCTCGTTCATCTAACTCTTCAAGCTCCAGCTTTTCCCCAGCACACACACGACATGCCCCACACTCAGCACACCCTGAGTCTCCAGCCACACCCACACGGCCTGAAACATCACATAGCAGCAAGGGCATTACAAACAGGACATACTTATATCCTGTTTATATTGTCAGAGTGACTTTATCCAAAACACATCACACTTCAAATTGCAATAAACAGTCTGACAGAGGTTTATATCCCGTTTCTGGACTGACAGCATAAACTTTTAGGATTTAATCAGCAATCTTGAATTTGCATGCATGACATCAAGTAAAACAACTTGGACTTTGAGTGTGGTAGACAAGGCACAGCACACATGTAACTGCAAACATGAGCAATGTTTAATTTCCTAAGAGCTTGATGATGTTTATCTTGATAATCACCAGGGTATATGACTTATCCCACCTGGTACCCGTTCACTGCTGGGTCAACAGAGGCAATTCATGAACAAACTCACTTGCCTGGAGGGAGACTACAACCGAGCTTGCCAGTGTCAACAAAAATAGCAATCGCAGCCGCGAAGGTTTGTTCGCAGTGCGACTCAGATTTGGGGGGAAAACATACATACAAATTGACAGGTCTGAAATCTTAAAACAATATAATGCAAGAACTCCTTCTAACTCTTTCAGAGTACCTCCGCCACAATATGTTTTGTGTTGCCAAGTTTAATCGGTTAGCTAATTTATTGAGTTGTGATTGGTACGCTCAACTGGTAGACAATTGGTAGACACCTGATTGGATAAAAGGCCAACCAAGGGAGGTAATAAAATTATCCGCAGCCGTAGATGCATCCAGGGTATAGTGGAGATTTATCGGGAACGTATAACCTGGAGATTATAGAGGATGGATGATGTTCAGTCATACAGTAGTGCCTTGGATGTATTCCAACAGTGTTATAGTCTGGAATCTGTGACTCACATGCCAGGGTTGCGGTCCACTCTGTTGCTGTTGATGCAGCTGACGCCGTAGCCAGTGCACTCCCCACACACAGTGCACACCATACATTGATCCTGCTTCCATCGGTGCTTGCCTGCATATTTAACATACATACAGAATATAATCTCACTTTCAGGAATAAGCAAGTCGTGCATTGTTAGAGCTACTATGATCTTAATTCTTATAAATCAGAGTTTGAAATAAGCCAAAAACCCAGCCAGACATCAGGGCTGGTGACCTCAAAATGTTACCAGCCCAAATCAGATTTAACCAGACCAGACAATCCACAGAAAATTACTCAGTTGTATGGAACATGTCATATAAGAATTTTACCAGACCATCAGGCTGGCCAGCTGTAAATTTAGACCATCCGTCAGAAACCTTCTGTGTGGGCAGTCGGACGGGCCTTATTTCATACACTGTATAAATTTACAGAAGGTTTAAAGAACAGGGCCATGTGCTTTCCCAGAAAGTAGAATAGTGCAATACCGGTATATAGAATAACATCTCATACATAAACACCTTTGTGGTAATCCCACAAAAAAGCAAAAACAAAACATATGCAAAATGCTGACTTATTATACATTAACAACACTGTTATTGTAAATTATCAAGAAGACACAGAGCATCACTACACACTGACCTGGTCCACACACAGAGCATCACCTATATGCTGACCTGGTCTACACAGAGCATCACTACACACTGACCTGGTCCACACACAGAGCATCACCTATACACTGACCTGGTCCACACACAGAGCATCACCTATACACTGACCTGGTCCACACACAGAGCATCATCTATACACTGACTTGGTCCACACACAGAGCATCACCTATACACTGACCTGGTCCACACAGAGCATCACCTATACACTGACCTGGTCCACACACAGAGCATCACTACACACTGACCTGGTCTACACAGAGCATCACTACACACTGACCTGGTCCACACACATCACCTATACACTGACCTGGTCCACACACAGAGCATCACCTATATACTCACCTGGTCCACACACACAGCATCCCCTATACACTGACCTGATCCACATACATCACCTATACACTGACCTGGTCCACACAGAGCATAACCTATATACTGACCTGGTCCACACACACAGCATCACCTATACACTGACCTGGTCCACACACAGAGCATCATCTACACACTGACTTGGTCCACACACAGAGCATCACCTATACACTGACCTGGTCCACACAGAGCATCACCTATACACTGACCTGGTCCACACACAGAGCATCACCTATACACTGACCTGGTCCACACACACAGCATCCCCTATACACTGACCTGGTCCACACACAGAGCCTATACTCTGACCTGGTCCACACAGAGCATCACCTATACACTGACCTGGTCCACACACATCACCTATACTCTGACCTGGTCCACACAGAGCATCACCTATACACTGACCTGGTCCACACACATCATCACCTATACACTGACCTGGTCCACACAGAGCATCACCTATACACTGACCTGGTCACACACAGAGCATCACTACACACTGACCTGGTCACACACAGAGCATCACCTATACACTGACCTGGTCCACACACACATCACCTATACACTGACCTGGTCCACACACAGAGCATCACCTATATACTGACCTGGTCCCACACACAGCATCACCTATACACTGACCTGGTCACATAGCATCACCTATACACTGACCTGGTCCACACAGAGTCCAGCATCAACCTATATACTGACCTGGTCCACACACAGCATCATCACCTATACACTGACCTGGTCCACACACAGAGCATCACCTATACACTGACCTGGTCCACACAGAGCATCACCTATACACTGACCTGGTCCACACAGAGCATCACCTATACACTGACCTGGTCCACACACACAGAGCATCACCTATACACTGACCTGGTCCACACACAGCATCACCTATACACTGACCTGGTCCACACACATCAGCCATACTCTGACCTGGTCCACACAGAGCCTCACCTATACACTGACCTGGTCCACACACATCAACCTATACTCTGACCTGGTCCACACAGAGCATCACCTATACACTGACCTGGTCCACACAGATCATCACCTATCACTCTGACCTGGTCCACACAGAGCATCACCTATACACTGACCTGGTCCACACACATCACCTATACTCTGACCTGGTCCACACAGAGCATCATCATTCTCCACTTCCTCCTCCTCTTCTGCCATCATCACATTGCTGCTTGCTGAAACATAAAATACACCACCATGCATTAAAGCAATAAGTTGGAATTAACGCAAGTGTCATGACTGATGGACATTGATGGTTAAAGATCTGATATGGAGATTGAAAATTCTATATACCATATGCCACAGTCATATCTCACTCTACACAGAGGGCAGAGTTGTACAATGCTTTCAGTATTCTCACAGCCATATCACAATGAGGTGCACCATGAGTTCTACATACATTCTCGGATATGAGTGCATATAACATATTCTTTCATTATTACTATCTAGTCTGAAGAAAGTCCAAATGTTTCCATATTTAAAGGTCACGTGTAACCAAAAAATCAACCATAATTAAAACACAATTATCACTTATTCGTGACATATAAAATACATTGCTAGTTATGAAAAAACATATAAACAAAATTATGAGCGTACAATCACAAATCAAAAGTGCAATATTTTGTACTTGGGTTTACTTCCCAAGAAACTAAGCAGCCGGGATACCGAACCCAGTCAGAGCGGGTGGGTGTGCACTCAAGTGTAACAGCTGGATCATTTGCAGATGCCCTCACAGCTCATTGTGCGTGTATATATAGAAATGTTGGGTTTTGTAAATACATGCTCATTTTTTTTGTATAACATTTTGCAATCAACAGACATCATAACATGTCATGTGTACAAGTATCACACCTGCCTGTCTGTGTAATTACATAATGTGACAGAGACCGAACTCGGGCCATAAAACAATGTGTTTTGTTTATGGTGTATAGCCTGATAGGTGTTAAGTTCACAAATTGCATGTAGTCAGTGATCGAAGTTGTGTATTGAATATTGTCATTAGCAGACGGGCAGGCAGACACATAGGTGTCAATAAAACAGACATTGAGTTTTGTCTGTGACAACGACATATCTATATCACAGTTAGAAATTCTGTCAACGCTAAATAATGACATTGCTTTTAAGTATCGGACTCGGTAAGAAGAACGTGTGGTGAAATAGACAAATGAAATTATATAAACAGTTAAATCGGTAATCTACTGTCATAACATATACAAAGTTCGCGCCTGTGAAATATCAACAAAACATTAGAAAGCTCACACCAAAGCCTTCACCACAGTATTCACGGACAACCCGTATTCACGGACAACCCGCTTCCAAGCTGCGCGAACCTATTTCACTGTGCATGTGCTATGAGCGCAGCCCAGCTGTTGGAACCACTTTTCCCCCAAGTGCTGGGGGAAAATTAGTGAATCGTTTGAACTACGATTTCGCGCGTTTTTTTTCATCGTGTTATTTTTCAACTTTATAAGTTGAATTTGCATTTTTGATGATTTGTTTCGGTAAGTCCATACCGAAAGGTATCAGAATCTGCAAAGTTGTGTTTTACGTTGCATGTGACCTTAAACAAATTCTATTCAATTCTTCCCAGTTGATTTATTCCATCTCGCAAACACCAAAGAAAACTCACTTTCTCTGGAGGCCCTGGGTTGAAGTCCCGGCCACACTGCCCCTTGTTGTTGATTCCATAGGTGAAGATCTGCCCCTTGTTTGTGAGGGCCACAGCATGGGCCTTGCCCAGGGCAATCTGGGTCACTATCACATCCTTCAGGTCAGTCACATGACCTGGAAATAAGGTTAAGGTGAGTCTTTTCACTATTTTTCCATATAAGATTAACATTCTGTAATTTGGAATGACAAATAAATTCAGAAAAGTTCACACTAAAAATAGCATCAGTGAAATATGATGAGAGTGTTTGTTTTATAAGTTACCATATAAAACATTGTGAAATGACATCAGTTGATTTTATCACATGGAAAACGTGCAGGGACATAACATATGTAAACAAAAAACACACAGATATGGTGGTGTGTGGTCCTGTGTGATGATGGGTGAGCGTGTTTGGCAGCTTGACTCCTGAGAGTTTCTAGGACTTTAGTCCTGCCCCACAACGAAGCACACATGACACCTGTAGTCTCCCTCCAGGCAAGTGAGTTTGTTCATGAATTGCCTCTGTTGACCCAGCAGTGAACGGGTACCAGGTGGGATAAGTCATATGACCTTCTAGCACCTCACAGGCAGCTTGGGTTATCTGGGGTAATAATGTACTAGTGCCTTGAGCATGCACAAGAGCTTGGAAACAGGCTTTATAAAAAGCCATTATTATTATTATTATTATATATCTGACCCCAGTACACTTACCACTAGCATGGTCACAATGTGCGGTGTCCTTTCCATACATGTAGACCTCGCCTTCCTTGGTGACTACAGCACTGCTGCCACTGTTGCAGGCCGCGTACACCACCGACCGCGACTCTAGGCGGATCATCTTCTTTGGTTTTACTGGTTTTGGTTGTCTTCGGTTTTTGGCTGAGTTAGATAATAACACAATCATATGGCTTTACATAGAGAGTAGAGAGGGATGACAGGTTCATTAAACTGTATCCTAACGTAATATTTATCAATAAAATTTGTACAATAAGTGTTACACACTTTTGAAACACGCCGCTGATTGCACAACAAAACAACAAACACACACACACAAACACAGAGTTGGTTAAAACAATCATTCACATACTTCATCAAATGATTAATATTCATCACTAATAACTGTTAATACTGTTTGTCACGTTGAATTTGTAAAATATATAATGGAAAGATTGGGAACTGGCAATTACCATTTTGTATTTCACAACACCAACAGAAAACTTAATCAAGAAAACACATGACAAGTATGTTTTATGTCCAAACATCATCACCTACTTTCACACAATATTTGTTAGCCTTAACAAGACATCATGAACTTTTCAAATTTGACCAGATTATGACATGGAACTAAATAACACAGATTTATGACTTACACAAACTTGAATCTCCATCCTCCCCCCTCCTTGGTGTGCCAACAAAGAACACGCCCCCATCCTCCGACACCATGAGAGCATGTTGTCCATCATGCCCCACGGCTAGGTGGATTATCTTAGGGCTCTTGGTGATAGGGAGCTCCGCCCACTTCCCCTGGGAGGGGCCACCCTGCTTGATACCCAGGGCTGCTGACTTGCCACTGTACAACAACTTGCCTCCTACAGTTCGGATTAAGGTGAACTCCTTACCCGTGCTGACTGAGGCTATGTCTTCATCAAATCCTGTATCTGTAAAATACATTGTACATATACTCATGCCAATAATGGTTGTCACCCCCATTCCACTTTTTAATTGGAGAGGGGTGGGGGGGGGATGAGGGGTTGGGGGGGGAGGGGGAACCATTATTGGCATGAGTATATATGTCAGTCCATTACTGATACCATATTTCCAAAAGTTTGTTAAGTGAGATATTAAAACCCCCAAAGAACTGTTCTTTGCAGAATGCCATTTTGCTGTATCAGTTTCATCTTTCACCAACTTTGTTCAGCATGGTGGTCACTCGGAATGGCCATGAAGATCAATAATCAGATATATTGTCGATGCGAATCATTATAAACGATTATCAATATGAAAATTGTGTAATCGATAATATCATAAATTAACTATTGTGATGAAATAATTTTAAATTTAGTCAGAAAATACATGCAGTTAGGTCTTTATTCATGAGAAAGTATGTGCAGGATGGCATGTTGTTGGTAATCCAAGCCTCAATTTGACCCCACTCACCACCGATATGAGATGCTTGATTTCTTTCAGATTTTTTAGTCATTTTTGTTCAAAGTTACTTCTCTGATATTTATCGATAATCAATTGATATTCATTTAACAATGATCAATCATATCAAATCAATGATTTATATCGATAGCCAGCCCTAGTGGTCACTATCTTTGTTTTGGAACTGCTGTATTCATTTGCCAGAGTACTCTCAGGACACTCTCTTGCTGAGGGTACTAACACCAAATACAATCTGTATGAATTCAAGGGGTTGGAGTATTAGAGAGTATACTAGCCAATGAATTTTTAACAATGGGTTCCTATTTGCAGGAGATAAAAGTATTTTCCAAACATATCAAAATATGATTCTGGTTTTGGAAGCGATACTCTTACACTACTACAAAGAACTAACTTAGATACCTCAGAAGATTTTCAGCATGAAAACTCACGGATAAATCTCCTTTCCACCTCCGGGTCTAGAGAGTTACTGCCAAACACATCCATGCACTTGCGTGTGAGTTTCAGGGGGATTTCACTCAGGACAGACATGGGACTCTTGTCCGGACTGAACGTGCGCACCACGAAGCTGTCCTGCTGTAAACACTTAAAACCATTACATTACGTACAAATTCTCATCTCAACCTTCTTTCATACTTACACAGGGAGGGTACACAGAAAAGAATAAGGAAGACATTTTGAACCACCTTTAAATATTGCAGCAATTGTGTCTGGACACCAAGACTGGGTTTCACTGTACCAATGTTGGGAATCAAACCCTAGGCTAGTGTCAGTGAACACATTGGCCAATAATCAGTAAATACTGTTTTATGTCACAGTTTCAAACCCAGCTATATTTCCTATCTCCCGTTAACAACTGTGCCTGGGACAGGCTAATAATGACTGATAGTGCAAACAGCAATTTATGATCTAGTACGATGAAACACAATCAGACACCATCTTGACAACCCAAAGATTACTTTAGTAATCCTTTACAAGCATGTGGTACTTGGACCTATTGAAGCATTCTATCCCAAAACTAGTTAAAATCAAATTGTATATGATAAACAAACAGAACATTCCCTATGACAATACTTACATCTTTTGCGGGTGCAATTTGACCTATGCTCTCTCCATCACTGAACAACACACTCTGTCCAATGGTGTGACCTGGATACCACAAAGGGCTGATGTAAACACGTTGAAGGACTTGCAATCCTTAGAAAACTTAACATGGATCAACCATGAGTTATTCAAGTGTTGCCCACATGAGTAAAAGTGTGTGATTTGGCAAATAGTACCCAGTAAATATTATTACTTAAAACATAACTTAAACATCTAAATGACTATTATTTAGTTAGACTCCAAATGTTCAGCCAATTTAATCTTTGTCACTGTAAACAATTAGAGTGAGTGAGTGAGTTTAGTTTTACGCCGCACTCAGCAATATTCCAGCTATATGGCGGCGGTCTGTAAATAATCGAGTCTGGACCAGACAGACCAGTGATCAACAGCATGAGCATCGATCTGCACAATTAGGAACCGATGACATGTGTCAACCAAGTCAGCGAGCATGACCACACGATCCCATTAGGCGCCTCTTACAAGCATGGGTTGCTGAAGATCAATATTTTAACCCGGACCTTCACGGGTGGTAAAAAATTAGAAAACAAATGTACTAAAGTCTAAAATGAATGTTGCTCATTATTTTACCTGTACAAGATAATATCGTCTCAAACCCAGCTTATATCAGTAGTTTCTTTTCTCAGTCAAGGTCGTCCACAAACACCAACAATTAAGTAATGTAATATATGAAACATATTTTACTGCCTATTCAGAGAGACTTTTCTTCAAATATCAAATTTCAAACATGTCTCACATAAAGCACAATGCTGTGCAAACAAGTTCTGGCATGAACCAAAATATGTGTGTGAATGATGTATTATGCCACAGCAACACGTAACTGATAAACTCAGTCACAAACTAGTGGTCGACAGCATGAACACCCATACAGTCTGAAGCCTATGAACTGCCAAGTTACACATCATGATCACTTCATTTTTTCTGTTTGTGCAGGAAGTTTTGGGTCTAGGGACTTCTTCTGACCTGTAACTCCATGTCCACAGGAAGACTGACTGCAATATTTCCCCGTACAAAAATCCTCTAATGTCTTGTTCTGGTGTCATAGCAACCTACCATCCAAATCACATGGTGCTTTCACTTCTAGACTGTCTCTGTTGATGACACACAGGCCGGGGGAGGAGTTGTTGTCAGATCGACACAGCAGTTTACCCTGCACACAACACAGCATGTCACCTTAATTGCAGTAACTAAACTTCACCTTTACAATAAAGTACCTGCTCCAAACTTTGTCAGTGCTACATTATCCAGTGTATTAAATCTCTATTGTTTCATGGCAAGGGTATTATGGAGGCTGATTGGAATAGCACAATGCTGAAAGGAATTCCTATCCACATTTTAATGCTCAGGTAAACATTTTTAGAAGGTGAAGTATTTGTTTGATTTGACTGAGTTCATAAGGGATTGCTCTGACAAGGTCGCAATTCTAAAATTCAAACTCTTGATAAGAAAGGCATTTTGATTGGCTAAGCAAGTGAGAATCTGAACTAGTGAGAGAAAAAAGAAGGTCACATGGCTTCTGAAACAAAATCATGGTGGCAAATGGGTCTGTGTATGTTATTTATCACAATAGAATAAAGACACAGTACACTGGATTTTAGGATGAAATTCGCATATAGTTCACCTTATTATTAAAAATTCATTGGTTTCATCAAATAAATTTGATCATTATTACATATTCTTTTCATATAAATTTTTTAAACTCAGTATATGTTGGAATACACAGGATTCTAATTCCTCTTGCAGTTCCAACATATGTGTGACATATTTAAATATGAACAGTTATTCCTAGCTGTCAGAGTACACACAATGTGATGTCTTACCCCACTGAAGGCAAGCCACACAGTCCTGTTGACAGGGAAGTTCTCTTTGTGTTTGTAGACATTACCCTGAAAGATACATGTTGAAGATGACGTTTATATTCAGAAGAATGGTCAGAGAAATATGTGATTAAAAGTCAAAGCTGCTGAATATTGTCATCACTGAATCTGTCAATACCAAATGAGTGTTAGTCCGAACTTGTCCAATGACATCATTACTAGAAGTGAGCGAGTAAGGTTTTTGACTCTTTTAGAAACATTCCAGCAATATCACAGTAGGGGACACCAGAAATGGGCTTCACACGTTGTACCCAAGTGGGAATCAAACCCAGGTATTCAGTGTGACAGGCAAACGCTTTTACCATTAGACTACACCACTGCTCCCATTTCTAGAAGGATTAGCACAAAAAATAGTGAGTTTAGTTTTATGCTGGTTTCATCAATATTCCAACAATATCACAGTGGGGGACACAAGAAATGGGCTTCACACATTTTACCCATGTGGGGAATCGACCCCAGGTCTTAGGCATGACGAGCAAACACTTTAACCACTAGACTACCCTGCTGCTCCTATTACAAGTAGACGATGTGACTTAAAATCTTAACTCACTCACTCACTGTTACAAGCAGGATTAGCACGGACAATAGTGTGTGAGTGAGTATGGTTTTATGGCGCTTTCATCAATATTTAAGCCATATCACAGCAGATGAGACCAGAAATGGGCTTCACACATTGTACCCATGTGGGGAATCAAACCCGGGTCTTCGGCGTGACGAGCGAACACTTTAACCACCAGACTACCCCAATGCTCCCATTATCAGTAGGATTAGCACGGACAATCCGACACACATACCTTGATTGTTCCTCCATATCCAGTCCCTATCTTAAACAGTCCCTTCTTATTGAGTATATACAGGTATCTTCCATCACTAGCCACAGCACTGTTCTCCACTGTACTTTCACCTGGAGAACACACACAATATTAACAACAAGCATTCTGTGACAAGACTATTTAGAACCAGGCCTTTCAAATTATTTCCTTTTCATTGATGAAGCTGACGAAATTCTAGATATATTCTTCAGTGGGAAGCAAGATTCATCTTTCTAGTTTTTACTTTTAAGGTTAGGTCACACTTTTACTGTTGGTATTCATCCAGACTACCCTTTTCTTAGTTTAAGGTTTGGCTTGATATGTAAATTAATCCCAATTCATCATAGAATTTAAACTCACTATTTTTCAAGTCAGGTATGTTGAACTTGTGAGAGTGGGACTTTGTTTTGACCCCACTGTTGAACCAGTCTGGCAGCTGTGCTTTTCCCAGTAACACGGCCTGCACACTCTTCTGTAGTGAAGTCAGGATTCCTGGCACCTGTCGACACACATCATAAACCATACACTCTCCATGACAAGAAACCCATGGACATAACACCAAAGGGAAGGGAAAGGAGGGATCTGATTTATCATTAAGTATACTGGTTAAGACAGAAATACATCTGAGCTTCTCCTGCAATAAACATGTTGAGAGTAGAAGATGGGTGAAGTGAAATGGGATTTAATGTCACATTCAAGATAATTTCGCTTATTAATTGACATTAATGCTCATGTGTGTCGCTGCTGGTACTTATCCAGTTTGTTTGTTGTTAAAGCCATACTCAGCAATATTCCAGTAATATGACGGCGTTATGTAAATAATCAAGTCTGGACCAGACAGTCCAGTGATCAACATAATGACCATCAATCTATGCAGTTGGGATGAGATGACAAGTGTCAACCAAGTCAGAAAGCCTGAGCACCCAATCCAGATAGTCACCTCTTACGATAAACATGGGTTGCTGAAGACAAATTTTAACCCAGATCTTCACGGATTGGTACTTATCCAGACAAATTCAGAATGAACTCAATTTATACCACTGTGTGGAATCAAGCCGAACCACATTGATTATAGCATGTTCACATTAAACATAACTACCAACTACTACTTATATTGACACCCATAAATCTTTTATGTAGCCTGAAAACCACACTGCTACAAATGTCTGCTACTCCAACAAACTTATGGCTGCTACTCCAACAAACTTACGTCTGCTACTCCAACAAACTTATGTCTGCTACTCCAACAAACTTACGTCTGCTACTCCAACAAACTTACGTCTGCTACTCCAACAAACTTACGTCTGCTACTCCAACAAACTTACGTCTGCTACTCCAACAAACTTACGTCTGCTACTCCAACAAACTTATGTCTGCTACTCCAACAAACTGCTACAAACTGCTGCTACTCCAACAAAAACTTCGGATCACTGCTACTCCAACAAACTTATAGAAAATCCCACTGCTCAAGGATCACTCTGTCAGGGTCTCAAATAATGCAAAGGTATTAGGGTCGACTCTGGATAACATTCAAGCAACTTTCTTTTAATAACCACTGTTTTGAATATTTTGAATTAGCTATTTTGCTACCATGGAAACAGACCTGAGACAGCATCTTACTTTACTAACACTATACTTACCAGTATATCTTGAGAGGCCAGTGACGAGGGGCTCATCAGCAGAGCCTTGACAGCCTTCAACAGCTTCCCTGTGTCTCCCAGAGCAATGGTGAGACTGATGAGAGCAGAACAGGCAAGAGCTGTCAGTGACTGACCATCAAACACGATGTCTGAGCCAACATTGGTCGCTATCTCCATCAGCAAGTTGTACAGGTTCTCTGGAGACAAAAACATGTAGTTGGGTGTACTAGCAGTACATACAGATCACAAAAACATTGTATGTGGTAAAGCCATCATGCTTGATGCTTGGGAGGGGGATGGTGGGGTCATCATCTACCAAACATTCATTAATAGTATTTTAACTTTCTGCTTTCATGCCTGGTATGGCAATCTTCCTCTTACACAGAAAAACAAACTTGACAAAATTGTAAACATATCAAGCAAAATTTGCGGCTTCAATTTCGAACCTCTACCTTTTCAGTATGAGTCAAAAGTTAAGAAGAAAGCTCTGGCCATTCAATTGGATCCATCACACTTTTTAAATGAATGTTATGAACTTCTGCCTTCTGGCCGCAATTTCAAAATCATGTATTACAAAACTAATAGAACTTCAAAATCATTTGTCCCATACAGCATAAAACTTCTAAACCTTCCTTCAAAATTGTAATAGTGAAATCTATTATGAGGCACGAGTGATTATTATATCATGAACTTTGATTATGTTATAATTCAACATTATATTCTGATTAGCTTGGCATTGTGTAAATCTATATGTATATATATATATTATTTGTTGTTATATGCTTGTATTGGCTCTTTGAATGCAAAACAAATTTCCCTTGCGGGACAATAAAGTTTATCTTATCAAGGATGCCTAGTACCATGAGTCAATTATCAAGGCTTCTACCATAAGCAATATCACAGTTGGTTGTCTCCATATAAGCACTGTCCATACTCAGCAATGATTGTGACCACTCAATACACATGTTGTCACTTAGTCACTTACTACAAGCATGAGGCACACATTATTTGCATAAACTTCTCATTTTTTAGCTGCAAATTTAGTATCTCAAATGAATATGTAACATCAAACAGTACCAAACAATTGTCAATGATTTTAATACCCTCAAAATAATAACCATCTGTTTCACACATATAGTGATAAAATTACTCATCACTGATTCACATTTTTAGTCTCTGGACAATTAGGCATTGACATGATAACCTAAATTCTGAATTTTCTAAAAATTTCGGAATTATTCATAACTTCATAGTAATTTCACCAGATATTTCTTACCAACAACATCTGGTGGTTCACACTTCATGCCTTCTGGCTGCTGGCCCTGTAGCAGGTCAAGCAGGGCCTTCAGGGCCTTCACACACAGGTCAGGGTACTTGTGTCTTGTCTCACGGACCAGCTCAAACACTCCATTCAAGCCCAAGCCAACGATCTGCACACAGCAGGAATAAAGAGCATTTCAATCACAAATCATAAGCTGCAAAATAAAATCTCTCACTTATAAAATACAATGAGTTAAATGGTTTGTTGGATTTTACTCCTGTTCAAGATGCTTGGACCTCTTAGTAACCTGTAGCCTTAGCTGGTTCGTGTGATGCAAAGAGAACCTCATCAATGTTATTTTGTCAACATCTCAAATTCAGAATGTTTATGATCATGAAATAGTTAAATGATCTCCCACAAAGGACAAGGTATGATAAGAGTTCTTGTTGACTTACTTAACAGACAAGTCCGAAATATGGACATGAAATTTACAATTGTCCAAATGATTCAAAACAATGAATTAAGTTCATGAAGGGATACAGTTTGATTCACCGAATATGTGAATGAATCGTAACAGCTCTAATCAGCATGGGCTCAAGAAGAGGTAATATCAATATTTAAAGAAAGAGATCTTTTGTATTGTGAGTGTGAGTGAGTTTAGTTTTACGCCGCACTCAGCAATATTCCAGCTATATGGCGGCGGTCTGTAAATAATCGAGTCTGGACCAGACAATCCAGTGATCAACAGCATGAGCATCGATCTGCTCAATTGGGAACGGATGACATTTGTCAACCAAGTCAGCGAGCCTGACCATCCGATCCCGTTAGTCGCCTCATACGACAAGCATGGGTCACTGAAGGCTCATTCTAACCCGGACCTTCACAGGTCATTTGTATTGTGTGTTTATACTGTGTGTTCTTTCGGTATGCATGTGTGTGTAACAGTTTTGTTAAAACTCTGAATCCTTCATCATGTTTGGGTTTTTATTCTCCAAGAGGGCAGGGAATTCCCTGGTTCCTTTGTCCCTACATGTAACAAGGATTCAGTAATAAAATATCAATTACAAATTTTTAAAAAAAATAAAATAAAATAAAATATTTAAAGAAGGATGTACCTTTGGTATTTTGATTGCAGAATCTTTGTTCTTGTCATCATTGTCATCATCAGTTTCCGAGTCTGACGTTTGTGTGGTTGTGGCGAGTCGGTACAGCCGGGCTGTATCTCGCATACACTGCTCCAGGACAGACTGCCGGACACTGGCGTACACGTTGAAGCCTGAAGCATTGCCCTGAAGCTCCACTGACAGGAACTGGGCATCGGGAATATCAGGGCTTCCCTCACGCTGAAACACATTTAATACCAAATTTGCAGAACTACACAATCTCATCTTTGATTGGCATTTAGAGTGAGTATGGTTTTATGCTGCTTTTAGCAACATTCGAGAGATATCACAGCTGGGGACAACAGAAATGGGCTTCACACATTGTACCCATGTGGGGAATCGAACTAGGGTCCTTAAGCATGACGAGCAGACACTGTAACCACTAGGCCACCCCACGGCCGCTGGCATTCAGATGTTGGGAAGTACAATACTGACAATTTATGGATAACAACTTCTTTTATTTTGTGAGTACAATAATAGATAAAAGAAATTGTATCCATAAATTTGCCAGTATTTTACAAAATCTCAGTTTGTTGGCTTATTATTTCACAGGACCCAGGCATATTCCAGCAAAATGGATTTGGAGTATAAATGATCTAATCGGATCAGACAAACCAGTGACTGATATTATGAACAATATCCCACAAATTCAGGGTGCACAGTCAACCTGACCAGACAGCCTGACCATGTCATGACCTTCTACAACCAATACAGCTTGTTGGGGACTTATGCCCATCCGAAATCCATCTGCTGATTCACAGTCACTGAATATTACATACCTATCTATGTCTATATTTTGGGGGCGGTGGGGTAGTCTAGTGGTTATTTTTAAGACCCGGTTCGAATCCCCATATGGGTACAATGAGTGAAGCCCATTTCTGGTGTCCCCCGCCGTGATAGTGCTGGAATATTGCTAAAAGCGGCGTAAAACCAAACTCAGTCAGTCAGTCAGTCAGTCTATATTTTGACCAATTTATTTCATCAAACAATAAAAAAAAAATTAATTACAGATATAACTTATCTGGTCGGAAAACATGTTAAACCATAAGAAAAGGCATGTTTGATTCAAAAGGTTATTTATGTATGTCAGTGCATTTTAACAAAACATTCATAATGCATAGATGTAGCAAGTGGGATATATATACTGAGTCAAAAAAAGAAACTTCACAAAATGTAATTTGAAAAATAATGAATAATTTTTCTCTGATGATACATCTATGTATCCGAAATGGGATCCCTATCTTTCAACTCTAGAAAAACGTTAGCAAAACCCACTCAAACCCATCCATTCGTCATGCAAATGACGTTAGTGCCAAATCAGGTTTTGCACGTGCAGTCGATCACGTGATCTTCGCATGGAAGTTTTCTTCATATGCACGTGTTTGCATTGGCCTCAAGAATTGAAAAACACTTTTAAACCACAGTTCTAACGGGTACTTGAAATGCCACGATTGTCAAATGTGCAACGTGAACGCCGCTGGCATGTTGCAAGCCGGAAGATCAGTTATTGACGCCGCGAAGAGCAATGGGATGCAGCCGTCGCACTGTGTATGACTTTGGCGCAGGTCGCCTACAACAAACTGGCACCACTTCTGATCGCCAAGGTCGGGTCGTCCACGTGTGACGCCACGAGCAGAAGACCGTCAATCGTCCTACGCCACCTACGTGACAGATTTCTGCCGGCTACACCTAACCAGGGCTGAGATGTTTAGAGGTCGACTGTCCTCACAGACCATTCAAAATCGGTTGCGGGCTGCCAATTCCATTCTCGACGCCCATATCGTGGGCCAATATTGACGCCGCTTTCATCAACGCCAACGCCTGCTGTGGGCCCAACGTCACCTCCGATGGACCCAGAGAGACTGGAATCGAGTCGTCTTTAGCGATGAATCCAGGTTTACCCTCAGATTCGCGGACGGCAGGCATAGAGTCTGGAGACGACGCCGCGGAACGGTATGCCCAATGTTGTGTACAGGAAGTCGACAGATTCGGGGCGGAAGTTGCATGGTGTGGGTGCTTTCTGTGGGAACAACCGCTCCCGACTTCTGGTCATCCGTGGAAACCTCACAGCTGCTGCTTACCGCGACCAGGTGCTCACCCCTGAACTCGTTCCTTTCATGGCTGCTCATGGCCCAGGTCTACAGTTCCAGCATGATAATGCTCGGCCGCATACCGCGATGTTGACACGAAATTTCCTTCAAAACGCTGGAATCAACGCCATGGACTGGCCATCGAGGTCCCCTGACCTTAATCCAATAGAGCACGTTTGGGATGCACTTGGGAGAAGGCTTCGTGGTCTTAGGAACCAACCTCAGAATTTGCAGGAACTTGGCGCTGCCTTGCAAGAGCAATGGCGCAGAATCCCCAACCACGTGTTCACAAGCATCAGGCAGTCGATGAGGAGACGGTGTTTGGCAGTGGTGAAATGGGCGGCCATACACGATATTGAACTGAGAAATTTCGCATTTTTATTCTTGTGACTTGACATTCTGTATACCCATGTTTTGGAACGGCGGTGTAGCCTAATGGAACTGATTATGGCACTGTCAGTGTATCGAGTACATCACACAGATCTCAGCAATGAAATAATAACAATTTAACCATCTTACCATCTCTTTGTTCTTTTATAGTGCCCTGAAGAAAGAATGTGAAGTTTCTTTTTGACTCAGTATAACTTATCAGGTATTTTACTATCCAAACCTGCAAATGACAACCATATGCATTTATATGTATGCATATGTAACAATGAACAACTTATCGGTGCTGTCAGTGTATTGTCAACTGCTTGACCCCAGCGAGCTTTAAGTAGGATGTTTGTTTGACTGGAGACTGACACGACTGCACCTCATGTCGGATTATGTGGTGATCGCTAATTTAGTTATCCAGTCTCTTTTGTTAAGTAATTTACTTCCATGGACCGTGAGAAGACGTTTAGTTAAGCGGTATTGTTTACCTATCCGACTTTAGTTAACTGGACTCTAATAGTTATAATTAATGAAGAAAATTGCTTGGACCAAAGAAAAGTGTTTACTTATCAGGTCTGTTTAGTTAAGCGGTCTTTACTTAGGCAGTTTCCACTGTATATATAAACAACCAATGATGAAATGTTCCTGGAATTTAAATCTAATTCAGTCATATTTTCCTTTAGAAATCACAACAGTTACATGTAGTTATGAATCATAGCTCAACACTTGCAGGACAAATATTATTCATTACACACAAGCTTTAGAAGTTATTTTCGAACACATCCAAGCCTTTAAAAACCAAACGAAATCTTTGTTGACACTGATCATGACTGACAATGCAGTGCACTGTGACAGCTTACACAAACAATTTGTTAAAGCTGACATATGTTATGACAGTCCAGTGAACTAATAATAGATCTCAGCTAACAAGGTGTGAAACCCACCGGACAAACAGCTAATCACAAACCTTCTTATTTCTTTCTTTGGCTTTGCTCTTCCCCTTCTTCTTGTTCTTTTTCTTGTCAACCTTTTTTCTGTTGAAAAAAAAAAAATGATCTTAAGTTTTCAGGTTCCTGCTCATTGTTTTAAGCCACTCAACGATATTCCAGCTATATAGTAAGACAGTCCAATAAAGAAAGACATGGCCAAACAAATGGGTGACGTTAAGAACACCTGGCTATATTTAGTCACAGCACCTACGTTTGTTAGATATAATCCAGTGTTTCCGTTATACGGCATATACTGGACTTTGACCGGTAAAAAGTTAGAATGTCCGGTAATTTCAAAGGCTGTCGGTCATCATGTCTGACAAATTTATAAATAAATTTTCTAATTACCTCCGTCAATTTTATTTCTCTTGGAAAAAGATTATGTTTTCAGTTTATTACATCAAGATGGTGTCCAATAACAAATAGCAGTTTTGGGAAAAAAAACAGGCTAACAATAGCGGCATTAACGCATTACGATACCATCTACATTTCTGATTGGTTGTTAGGGTGCAAGGTCTCGCACGCAATGAAAAGCGTGACCACTTGACCGGTAAAATTTACAAATGACCAGTATTTGGAATGCTAGCCAGTCACAATGTCGAGTCATAAAAAATGCCAGCGGAAACACTGTAATCTACCCTTGGCCCTGGTTGGGTAGCCATGAGGTACTGATTCTGACTTACTTTACAAGTTGCAACGTGACTGTCAATTACTAGGTTGGTATGGGGCAAAAATGATTGATCTGATCACTTTTAGTTTACCATGTTCAATATTGAACAGTGAGTGAGTGAGTACAGTTTTACTCCACTTGTAGCAACATTCCAGCAATATCATAGCAGGGGACACCAGAAATGGGATTCATACATTGTAGCCAAGTGGGGACTTGAACCCTTGTCTTCAGCGTGATGAGCGGACGCTTTACTCACTAGGCTACCCAACCACCCCTCAAGAGGCAAAGAATGCTAGACAATATTTTGTTTTAATCCTGTTCAAACATGGTTAAGTTGCAACATATGGAGTTAATTAACAAATTTCAGACATTAGTAAGATGTCCTTTGGAAATCTTACTGACGCAAGATCACTCTGGTCACCACTAAATCTGTGACAAATTATTGTTAGTCTACAACACCAAAGTTGAAATGTGACTTAAAATAATAGGTCACTATCAGGAGTGGAAATAACCCATTGCTCGACTTCCGAATCCAGTGTTTTTTCTGTCGGGCAAGCAAATTTGTATATCACACTGTACCGGTGTCCAGTTGACTTTCCAATGTTAATTACGTTGTTTATTTAAAAAGTCAACAAGAAAATGGCCGGTATAGTGGAAAAATTATTAGGGCAAGTGATTTTACATGTGCCACTGTACCGGGAGTACACTAGCAATTTTAAAGTTATTTCTATCCCTGACTATGTGTGGTTTGTTCCTGTTATTCATTAATTACTCAACATTTATTCCTGCGTCATGGTGGTGATTCAAGACAGGACCAGACAAACCAGTGACTGACATACAGTAACCTGTGTGTATATTGGTTGGTTGGTTTGTTGTTAAATGCCGCACTCAGAAATATTCTAGCTATATGGTGGCGGTCTGTAAATAATCGAGTCTGGACTAGACAATCCAGTGACTAACACCTTGAGCATTGATCTATACAATTGGGATATGACATCTGTCAACCAAGTCAGCAAAATTAAACATCCAATCCCGTTTGTCACCTCTTACGACAAGCATGGGTTACTAAAGACAAATTCTAACCTGGACCTTCACTGGTCACCTGTGTGCATAACAAACACTCATGAGCTCACGGCGATGGGGTAGCCTAGTGGTTAAAGGGTTCACTTGTCACGCCGAAGACCCGGGTTCAATTACCCACATGAGTACAATGTGTGAAGCACATTTCTGGTGTACCCTGCTGTGATATTGCTGGCATATTGCTAAAAGTGACGTAAAACTAAACTCACTCACTCACTCATAATGAAATGATGGATGTAACAAACTGTTGTGGGTTTTCCCCCCGTCTCTTGCTGTATCTTTCAGTTGAAATGTGCGTAACAAACAGTAGTCATAAAGAAACTAAAATAAGTGGTCCTTTTCAGTTTGTTATAACCAGAGTTTACTGAAATTAGCAGCATCCCATGTTATCAAGGTACAATGACATACAAAACAATAAAACAAAATCATCACATCTACTTAGTCTAAACTGACACATGGAACATCTGAACAACACTCTAGTAAGCATGGGCTGCCTCTGCAGTATAATGGTTAGAGCGTCCACTGGAGTTCGGTAGGTCGCGGGTTTGATCCCCAGCCGCGTCATACCAAAAGACGTTAAAATATGGTACTTGTTGGTCCCTGCCTGGCACTCGGCATTAATGGGTACAACAAGGGCTGGTCAGCTCAGAGTCAGTATAATGTGTCTGAGTGGGGTATTCATTCTTCACTGCGCATGGTATCTCAGTGAGCTAGCACTATAAAACTTGCTGAAGTCTGGGCTAGTACAAGCAGCCACACATACACACGCATGCACGTCGTCATATGATTGAATATTCTTAAATGCAACGTTAAACCCCATTTCACCTCACCTAATAAGCATAAGTTGCACATCATCTTACATGATTGTAAGTATTACACTCAATTATGGAGCTGATGTTCAGAAAGTTAACATGAAATTAAATAGTTCTCAAGAATCATTTCTAGTGGTATGCTGAAATTAGGTTATTTTATGCTGCACATTGGATTTGCATGGATGTGTGTGTGGCACTTTGTACTTGCCCAGACTAATGCTGGCTTTTCTGTGCTACCCTAATGAGATACCATGCTACCGACTAACTTGGTGTTCTAAATCCGAGCTGTTCAGCCTTTGTTTTTCCCTTTATTGCTGAGCAGGGTAACAATAAGCAGTGTGCGAAATAGCCACTGGCCTGCTAGCCCCTGGCTAGTAAAAATCCAGTCAGGCCAGAAAATCTCCACAGTCACTGGTCCGACTGGCTAGTGAATATTCATGGGGTTATTTTGTAAATATATCACTCTCTCTGACTTGTTAAGTTATAATACACTTTAATCATGCAAGATTATGGCCTGATTAAAATGTTCATCATATTAACAGCTTAATGATGAAACATGTCATGCCAACAATATCTTATTCTCATCTATTTTTGTTATCTTTTGCTTAGTTTCTACATTCAAATTTCGGGATAGTTAATTATTTTGTGGGCAAGTAACTTTCAGGCATAGCTAGCTGCTAGCAAATTTTGGAAACTATTTCGCACACTGGATAAGTGCCATCTTTTCATGTCTTTTAGTATGACTCCAGTGATGAAACCACAAGGAAGACAACCAAACTACACAACAGAAACAGAAGAGTCATTAATGGACACTTACCAACATTCATTGACTGAGTGAATCAGTACACTTTGACTGATCAACCATAACTGATCATCAGAGCATCACCACTTACTTTTAACATGTTTAATTATAGAATGTGATATAATGATGAGACACATAAATTGCCAAAATGACATGGCACACATTTAATTACTCCCCAAACTTGACACCTTTCCTCAGTCTGCTAGTCTGTAACCTACCAGTGTTCTAAATTAAAGGGGTCTTGGAATCCCTCGAAACATGATCAAGGTTTTATGTATATCAAGGTGCATTTCAGTCTTGTGAATGATTTTACAAAATCAGTCAGGTAAAGACCACCATGACCCCATCAATCTTACGTCCTCTCTCAACAAGTAATGGGTACTTTTGGATGAGAAGATGGGGAACAGAAAGGAATTTTTGTTTTTAAATTTCAATGTTTTTATTGTCTGAAAATCACTGTTACTGGATTGAGGATCACCTCCATGGTAAGGGATTACACTCATTTGTAAGGTATGAAATCTTACTAGTAGACAATCTGACATTTTCTAAAAAAGAAGAAGAAAGACACCCATTCACACTCACATTCATACTCATACCGTTGCAAGTTTAAAATAAACAGCTTGCTTTTACTATATGTCTTCTTTTTACTTAAAAGTGGATGATAGAGAAAACCCACTTTGTGTAAAATTTATTGAGTTTATTTCTGCTTCAGAAACTAATTTTCTCAGTAGAATACCTCGAACAGAAAGGAATTTTACTCCAGAAAACAATCATTAATACGGCTAATAGCAGATGAGCTTTCATGAATTAATAATAAAAAGCTACTGATATAAGGTATTGAAGGTACCCACAAGATTGGTCTGGTCTATTAGTTTGTTTGTTGTTTACGTCACACTCAGCAATATTCCAGCTATATGACTGCAGTCTGTAAAGAATCAAGTCTGGACCAGGCAATTCAGTGATCAAAAGCATGAGCATCGATATACATAAGTGGGATATGATGACATATGTCAACCAAGTCAGCGAGTCTGACCACCTGATCCCATTAGTCAATTCTTACAAACATGGGTTTAACATATATCATATTTGGGATTACACTTTCACTTTGCTGAAGATCAATTCTAACCCAGATCTTCATTGGTCTGGTCTTATCTAACAGTAGCATGAATATCTTCAAAAGATACAAAAATGATATTGACAACTAGCCATAATTCAATCATTATTTACATGAGTTTTCTATTTACTACCAAAGCTTGACCTTTCTCCTTTATCCACAACACCTCATGTCATATCAGATCCTTATTTGGAACTTTTTTCCTCCTTTTTGTATACATCACATACAGCGGAAGTAATTTTAGTTCTATGCATGTAGGTTATTATTGTTCCAATATTCAGTTTCATTTCGTTCTTGAGTTATTAACTCATTATGGTAATGATGTATCAACGATGTCAATGTGATGGATGAAACTGGTACGATAGCATGGTTTACGTTTCTGAAGAGAGCAGGAACTCATATTTTGCCCCATATTCTTGATCAAACAACGATCACAACACATTCCTTATGTGAAACTTCTTTATTGTGGTAATCATCAGAAATATACTTGGAATTTAGACCCAGTCTATCACAATCAAAGGAGAAACCTTACAATGCAATCACCAAAATGTCAAAACATTTCATCATCTAAAATGGCCTTCCCGTGAATGGAAACTATGTGCAGGAGGTGTACACGAATATGTAAATTGTAATTAAAGGGCATTAGGGGTTGCAGGATGACTCACCTATTTGGGCTGTCATCGCGAATGCGGAAGAGGTCATGAAATTTGTTGCACAGCTCTTCGCCACGCAAAAACGTGTCCAGTTGACTTCTAGAGCACTGCAAAACCGCTGTCGCCATTGTAATTTTTTCTCTCCCAGGCAATCAATCACATAATACAGGGCATTTTAGCGTTTTCCCGTGCAGCGATCTTCCCAGATCTTCAGAAATACGCAGAAGAAATTAAGAAATTGCTGTTCTGTTTTCGATTTTGACGTAGGCTGACATTTTGAATGATGAATTCTGGGAATGTTCGGTGCCCGAGCAGACGACGTCGGAGTGTTCCGGATATTTCCGGAAATGTTCATCGAAATTATTTTTGCACTGCATGCTGTTAAATCTTGGTTATTTTCACACCACGAGCGTTAACAACTGCTCATAAATGTTTCACTTCATCGTGAACACCTATACAGGTTATATTTCAGACTAACTGACGATGAAAACAACCACTGCAAGTCACGGATCGATATCAAGATCTAAAATAGAACTTAGTCATAATAGACATGTTACCACATACGAGCTTATTTGTATTACATACTCCCCGGTACTTAATCACTGTACACATTCAATACATTCGGTATGCATTAGGTAAAAAGTGTCGTTACTAGCTCAATGTAGGTTGTTGTTCGAAACTTATAAACAGAAAATCCCTGAAAACCCGCCAAGGTGTATATTTCCACACACAATAATTTCCGGTCACATGGAGACAGAAAAACAGATATTTCATATTACTTGTGAGAATATCTAAGGCAAATATAATTTGCTCTTCTGATTATTATAATTTGTATACGTTAGACGATCCATAATTATGAAATTAATTTATTTAATTATAAATTCTATCATTTTCGTAATTACCTTTTGAGGGGATAAAATATCAAATATATCGCAAATTAGATTAAACGAGGTAGCAGAACCGAAAGCCTCTTAAAATAATTTACTTAAATATACCAATTTTAAAACCCGTGACATCTCAAATATGTATATTAATATGTAATTTACGATATCCCAAAATAGCAGTATGATGTAAGGTATATTTTTATTTATAACATGACAATAGTGAACTTCGAGATATGATGAAACGTTATCACTGATATGAACCATATCAACAGTTTTAATTCCCGCGATGCATTGCATGTATCTAAAGAGTGAAAAGAAAACTGCTATGTCATACAAAATGAGAGTGAGTGAGTTTAGTTTTACACCGCACTCAGCAATATTCCAGCTATATGGCAGCGGTCTTTAAATAATCGAGTCAGGACCAGACAATCCAGTGATCAACAGCATCAGCATAGTTCTACGCAAATGGGATACGATGACATATGTCAACCAAGCCAGCTTGCCTGACCACCCGATCCCGTTACTCACCTCTTAGGCAAGCATGGGTTACTAAAGATCAATTCAAGCCCGGATCTTCACGGGCCATATGAATGAAAAGCAATGGCATAGGCCTTGTCTAGTTACTAGGGTTTCCTGAAGAGCTAGTATATTACTACAATACATTTTGGCATCCCAGAGCAACAACAAATATTGAGTGAGTTTAGTTTTACGCCGCTTTTAGCACTATTCCAGCAATATATCACGTCGGGGGACACTAGAAATAGGCTTTAGACCCTGAAACAAATATACCCAATGAAGCCTATACAAGTCTACATTATGCGTCTGTTTGAAGAAAGCGTCTGGGCTGATGTTTATTACATTTTATTAACATAATTTGGAAACACTGTAAAATATGTTGATTTCAGAAACCAGATGTCAGTCGAGTTAGCGGGAATCTAATTTTAAACCATCTTAAAGGAATTGATCTTTATCATCAACTGTTTATCGGATCATATTTACCTCGATATTTTTGTGAGCACGTTTTAGTGTATGTTTAGGATGTTACTTAAATACTGCGAACGAACGAAAGGAAAGTGAGTGAGTGAGTGAGTTATTGTGAGCGAGTTGAAGTTTTAGGTCGCATCGGCATTATTTCAGCCATATAGCGACGAGACCAAGCCTGCACACATACTCATTTTAATTACAAAGTTTAAATGAATTTCTTAAAATACATATTTATTCATTACATTATTATTTATAAACGGAAAAAAGTCAAAGCACCAGATTAAAATAAAACACGCAATTTGTCATTCACATTTACCTATCCGTTAGCACGATCATCAATGGAAATGTGGCAGAATCAAACATGCTTTTCGCTACAACCAACTTGATGTAGCAGATAGTTTACAAAGAGTGATCTGACTGTTTGTGTGAAACTCGTAGACGAAAGTGTGATTCTTTGTTCGTACACAATCGTCCAGTGCTTTTACGGTCCACTTTCGATACACTTCAGCATACTACGTTGGTTGTGTGTCTGTGCGTGTGTGCGTGCGCGTGAAACTCTGGTAAGAACTGTTCCTATACGTCATGGATAGACTTCTGGATCGGTCGGTGAGGGGCGATAACTTGCGTGCATTTGTACTCCGATTGGGTACCGCGTTGTTCATAAAATCAATCACATGTATGATGTTATTATTTAGTGGTAGCCGTCACGCACACGCACACGCACACGCACACGCACATATAGCCGGGACATTCAGTCATAACACCAGATTAAAAAATAAGCACTTTGTCATACACATTACATAGTTACAATTTATGATACGGATCAATTTCTCTCAAGTAGTTCACAATGACATGTCCGATCATATCTCTCAGAGTTACTGCTTATAATGTGAATCCTTCGCAGTTGAAAACCCACACAGTCAAGCAGAATATGCTTGATGGTGAACACTTCATCGCAAGAGACACACTTAGGAGGTCCATCTCAATCTGTTTTGAGCAGATAGTCATGAGTAAATCGACTGTGGCCTATACGACGTCGTCGGAAAGATTTATGCGCAAACGCAGCAATAACGTATATGAAATAACCCCAAAAGACAAAATGTGTGGGTTGTTTTGTGATTATATGTAAATATCTGAGATTGACGAGAACGAATTTGAATAAACTCTTGCTAGGCAAGGTGTGGTACAAACTGATGGGGATTTTAGAGACGCTTCGTACACCTGATACAGCTACAACTGCCGTGTCGCTCATGTACTGACTATCCATTCTAATGATTCAAACAGATATGTATACTAATATTATATAACACATTGTCAGAAAGAGTGAAGTAACTTGATATCAAGACGAATCGGACGAATAGCTTTTGTTGGAAGGAAATTTCTAAATCGTTGTCCTCAAATTTCTGGGCATGAAGTAAGGGGAGACCACTCGTACGACCTTAGTGTCTTGCAAGTCCTCTCAACACGGTCATTGTTCGATTTATCATATACATTTTTTTAATCTCTTTGTTATCGCCTTAGCAACACTGCTTGAACATGTTGAATAGAAACATTTGAATAGAAAGTAATTAATTCCCACATATTTTGAAAATCTGAGTACACTATTGCATTTACGTCAAGTGAAGTGGTAGGGGGCAAACTTTCGTCATCCGTTAGTGTGTGTGTGTTATTGTTGTTGTTATTGTGTGTGTTGTTTTGGTGTGGTTGTTTTGTTCTTTTGTGTGTGTGTTTTGTTGTTGTTGTTGTTGTTTTGTTGTTTTTTTTGTAGTCTGATCATCCATGGAAATGGAGCAGAATCAAATATGTTTTTCGCTACAACCAACGTCATGTAGCCGGTAGTTTACAAAGCGTAGACGAAAGTGTGATTCTTTGTTCGTATACAATCGTCCACTGGTTTTACGGTCCACTTTCGATACACTTCAACATACTACGCAGGTTGTGTGTATGTGCATGTGTGCGTGCGCGCGCGAAATTCTGGTAAAAACTTTTCCCAAAGAACCTATACGTCATGGATAGACTTATGGATCGGTCGGTGAGGGGCGATAACTTGCATGCTTCTGTACTCCGATTGGGTACCGTGTTGTTCATGACATCAATCACAGGTAAAATGTCATTATTTACAGATGGCCGTCACGCACACGCACATGCACATTTAGCCGTAGACTAAGGCTTAGTCTCTGAATATATATAATTTTGATAGTATCAAACAAGCCCATTGAAATTGAAAAGGAGCCCCAGGGAGACCAGAGATTCAGACTGAACCCGAGGAAATCTAGACTTGCTTTATTTAGGGCTTTAGTACTGCAGAGAGGGCTTGGCAGTACGGAAAATAATGTGGTTCAGGGACTGTGAAACAGACTAATATAGCCGGAACATTCCCTGCTGCGACGTTAAATACAAACATACTTCATTACTGAGTTGTAACGTAAAACAAGGGGCGGTGGGGTAGTCTGGTAGTTAAAGCGTTCGCTCGTCACGCCGAAGGCCCGGGTTTGATTCCCCACATGGGTACAATGTGTGGAGCCCATTTCTGGTGTCCCCCGCCGTGATATTGCTGGAACATTGCTGAAAGCGGCGTAAAACTAAGCTCACTCACTTACGTTAAAGAATCTTCCTTCACGGTGATACCTAAATCATCAAAAGCTATGACAGGTCCTGAACGAAATTGGTTCTCTGTGTTACAACATTTTGAGCCAGCCACGTGTATGTGGTCAGTTACACAATAAACGCATGCACGTATGATGCCATGCGTTTATTATCCAATACATTCACGAATCAAGATGTGGTATATGTTGCTGGAATCCATTCATGTAGTTTACAGATACAGTGTACCCCTTTAATCCGGACACCATTTATCCAGAACCCCAATTTTCAGACCGAGTTGGCTGGGGACGGTGCATGTCGAGTTAACGAGGGTTCCGTTTACATACAACACTCGTAGGAGACAAAAGTAAATTCCATTACATTGATTACTGAGCCATGATGGGGGAGAGTGGACTTCAAGATACATGGCTGAACTTATTTAGCGAGGGTAAATATTTAAAACACCAGGAGTCTGAATCTGGGCGAATGATGTGTTCTGAGTTTACCATCTACACATATAGCAAATGCTGAAAGGATTCTAAGAAAATTATTAAGTTGTACAATGTATATGAATTCTTTTCTGGTTTTACTTATTGGAGTCGCAAGTCTTTGATTTGTAATAAGTGTGACAGGAATTTTAAAATTTAACCTCCTTGAAGAAACACAGGTTAGAATAGACAAGCCATGCTTGTCGTAGGAAGGACTAACAAGATCGGGTGGTCAGGGTCACTAAAGTTGCTATTACATGTCTTCGTATCCCAGTCGCGTACAGATCGATGCTCACGATGTCAGTCATGGGATTATTTGGTCCAGAACAATGTCATATAGCTGGACTATTGCTGAATGTGG